AGCACAGGTTCTGGATAGAACTCAGATCCTCATGCTTATAAAGCAAGCACTGTACTAGCTGAGTCCTCTCTCCACCACAGCTGACGTTTTAGATTGGTACCTCCTCTGCCTTTTCTGATAACCCCGTTCTAAGACTCGGGCAAGGAGCAGTCCTTGAGGTAGGACTCCTTGACTCACCTCTTTGTACCAAAGTGAGGCCTCCCTCAGAGGCTCTGCATTTGGATAAAATCCAGATTGGTGAAGCTAAGGAGTATGACTTTGGTAGGGGTCACTCCGCATGTGACACGCAATCTGACTATGTATTATACTAGAACAAAGAAGCTAGGCTGACAGATTTTTTTTATTGCTGAAATCCTTTCACAATCATGAGTGAAAACTTTAAAAAGTACAAAGAGGTTGAAGACATTTGCCACAAGTTCAAAACAATTATTTTTCTTACATTTTTCTCTTCTTTCCATAGTTTGCATAACTCTAGTAATTCCATATGTTGGCAGTTAGTCTTTTTAGCCAAAGCCTTAACAATTATTTTTTTCATGATTTTTCCCCGCAAACCACACAGTTTCATGCCTGTATGATATCCTAGGGGCTTAGAGATGTCTTGGGTAAATCTCATGTCATTTTTTGTTAATGCAAAGTTATTTCTGCCTTCTCTAAAGTTTCATAATCTTCCCATACATTTCCTAAAATATAATCCATTTTTCAGTTGGAGGGGTCGTTTTATGGGATAAGTTCCTAGGAATGAAACTGTGTCAAAGGGCATAACTCTTTTATACTGTAAATTTTTCCAAGGCACTGTCCATTTGCACAACCATACTTAATGGCTGCAAGTAGAGCTGCTGGACGTCTGTTAATTTTTTATCACAAAATGGGTCATCAACCTCTTCCCCCTTGCACCCATACCATTTGGAATGTCGTCATTCAAAATAAATAGCAATAAAGACTTAAATACTTTTAATGGCTGCCCTTCACACAGTCTCCCTAGGTGGCTTCTTAGGAATTGTGGTAGCTTGAGGCGTTTTATTTCCTCTTTCCCCCCCTCCTCTTTGCTGTTTTCTTCCCTCCCTCCTGGTTTACAACACGTTTTCCTGGCTGTGCTTAAGCCTCAGTACTTCTTGTTCTGTCTTGGTTGATGAATGAGTGTAATTGACCCCTGTTGTCTCTATTATACAATCCATGGCAATTTGTTTTTTATGTAGTAGTTATTTTCTGAGCTGTCTCAAAACTGCCTTACAAAAAGAGCTCATTATCAGCCCAAAGGAAAAGAATTTTAAATGACGGAATGAATAACAGTCCCCAAGAGCAGGGGGAGGAGAAGTCTAAGCCATTCCAATTTTCAAGTAAATGAGTGAGTTTTAGGGTCAAGATAATTAATTGCTGCTTAGATGAAGCCCAGTAAGACTTGATTATATCTAGAAATTATTAGATTAGAAATGGCTTCCCCGTGGACACTGTTGCACTCTGGATGCATAGAAGGGTTGAATGCAGGTCCAAGATGGCCCTCTGGGTGACATTTGGCAGCCCATTCGAAACTGGTTGTAGAAAACCCAGCTAAACAGCTGTATGTGACAACCAGGGGTGACTTCTGAGTCAGAAGATTCGATCTGAACAGATATGAGCCATACAGAACACCCAAATGCAAGTCATACATTTGTATGACTATCAGAAAATACTTGGTACCGGAGAGATGGCTCCGTTGGAAAGTGGTTGTCTCTCACACATGAGGACCAGAGTTCAGTCTCCAGGACCCATGTGAAAGGAGCCATGTCTGGAGTGGCACATGTCTGTAATCCCAGGGCTATGGAGGCAGAATCAGGTAAATCCCCGAGGGCTCTTTGGCCAGCTGTCAGAGGCTGCTTGTTGAATTCCAGGCCACTGGGCACTCCTGTTTTAAACAAAACCAAACATAGGTGGCATTAAGAAACAATAGTAAATGTTGTTCTCTGCCCTCCACACACATATTCCTTCCTGAGTATACACAAACTCAAACAGACATGAAAACATTTGGCCATTCATCCCTTTTGAATTTTCCAGCTACTTCCACACCATAATCCCATGAAGTTTTAATTTGTAGCTTTGTGTATGTGTATGTCTGTGAGTGTGTCCCATGTGTGTGGTGGTGACTGGAAGCCAGAAAAGGGCCTGGCGTCCTCTGGAGCTGGGGTTACTGAGATGCTTGGCGTAGGTGTTGGGAACCTCTTAGGTCCTCAGGAAGAGCAGCAAGTGCTCACAACCCCGAGTGCTCTCTCCAGCCCTCCCACCAACTTTTGTTTTTTATTCGGTTAACAGAATTAACCAAGGAAGTAGCAAAATTACAGGGAAGCAAGTCTACATGGAAGCAAACGCTGACTTCAGCCACCTCAGCTTGTCTGAGCCAGTGGGCCCTTGTTTTTAGTACACGCAGCCCTGTTTGGTGGGGGAAGAGCAGAGGAGAGTTTTAAAGTATAAACGCAGACGAGAGCCACTGGAGAAGCAGAGGTTTGTGTGACAAAGTCCCCCTAAGAAAGGAAGGAAGCAGGAGGGTAAAAGGCCTTGGTACTGCCCTGCTGAGGGTGCAGAACAGAGTCCAGGGCCTCTCTGCGGTGAGGCTTTGAAGTAGAGGATTCTGGGAGGGGCTTGAGAAACAAGTGTGCTGACTTTAATTGAATCACCCAGATCTTCCTTTATGTGGCTTCTTTCTCCTGTCCTCCTTCCCCTCCTTTGTAGTGTGTGTGTGTGTGTGTGTGTGTGTGTGTGTGTGTGTGTGTATTTGTGTCTGTGTGTGTGTGTATTTGTGTCTGTGTGTCTGTGTGTGTGTTCACCTTGGCAAACAAGACAAGGCCTGGGAGAAGAAGAAAGCACCCCTGGATCCTAAATGAGCAAGGCCTAGCTGGGCGGAGCACCCCACCTCATACACACATAGTCAGTGCAGTCACCCTGACGCATGGTCTTGAAAGGAAGGGGAGAGGGTGTCTGTATTTGTTTCCTTTGATTAGGAAGAATGGGCAGGCAAAAGTACACCCAGCCTCGATGACAGCAGTATCACTGGTCACTTTACCTAGTGCCTGCCCTCTCTGCCAGTTCAAGTTCCCCAAATAAGTCCTTAAGAGACTTCTGAAGCATAGTTTTGGCACAAGTGCCCCCCCATCCCCCCCCTCTGTCTCTTGCTCTCACCCCCTCTCTCTGTCAGATTCTCTCTCTGCTGTTCTGAGCAGCAAATCTCCCCATTGTCAAGGGTCTGTCTAAGGCAGATGGTTGCTACCAACTTCCTTTGCCAGGGGTCAGGTCCCAGGTAAGCGTCTGATAGACAACACACCTCCCTTACCTGTATTGAACACTTTCTGCTTTCTCAAATGTTTCATGTGATCCAGGAAACTCAAGAGCCGTGAGGCTCTCACAGACTCCACTCTTGGCTTCTAAACTTAAGTTTTCCTAAGATACCCGATCCAGGCTGATCCTTGACACGAATCCAGCTCGGCTAAGGCCTTGTGTGTTTCCTTCCTCACAGGTTACTCGGGCCAGGACTTTGACTGGGCAGATTATCACAAGCAGCACGGGGCAGAAGAAGCACCACCCTTCTGCTTCAGAAATGTAAGACACTTCCCATTGGTTCCCATTTGAAGTTGTAGATGCAATGCCGTGTACACTGCTTGAGTTGTTTTTTCCCCTGTTCGGTGATCAGATGTGGAGGACGGCCTTGCACAGCAGGACCGTGGAACCATCACAGGTTTCCAAACAAGTTTCATTTCATGTTGTGTGGATGAGGCCAGGCTGCTCTGGTAAACTGACTAACAACTGCACAGGAGTTGGCTTGAACATGCTGGAATTTAGTTTCCACTTTTGGAAGAGTCAAGGATCAGAGATGCTTTGCTCCTGAGGTTTATCAAAGGGTGTAATCCTGGGCTGGGAATGGAGTTTAGTTTGTAGAATGCTTGCCTAGAGTGAGTGAGTCAATTCCCAGCACTGCATAAACCAGGTGTGGTAGTGAATGCCTGTAATCGCAGCACTTTATAGGTAAAAGCAGGAAGAATAGACGTTCAAAGCCATTCTCTACTCCATAGTGAGTTCAAGGCTAGCCCAGGCTACAAGATACTTTGTTTTCAATCGGTAGATAGATAGATAGATAGATAGATAGATAGATAGATAGATAGAGATAGATAGATAGATAGATAGATAGATAGACAGACAGACAGACAAACATTTTAGGAAGTGCTTTCATTACTAGTAAGACACCAGCTGAGCAGCTTTGGGAAATGCTTACTTGAAACTGTTAGATTTTTGTCATTGCAGGAGTATTTTAGTGACATAAACTGGAAATAAATAAATAAACTTACTCAGTAGCAAGAGGTGGTAAAGTTTGGTGAAGTAGTTGGCAAAATTGGTCCTTTAAGTTTCTTCAACCATGGAGACTATGGCAAGGGATCTGAGCTGTTTCCTCTGTTTTAAAAATGAAGTGAGTATCGCCATGTGTGTTCAACATATTTGTAGTTAGGGAAGTAAATCCCCTATGCTAAGAAAGAAATGACACACCCCTTTTACTTCTGACCTGCAGCTCCCACCCTGCGTAGCATTTGCAAATCAAAGGCTTGCTCTGACCCTGTGATCCCAGACTTATTGACTGACTGTCCACCCACACGGAAGTCTGTGCCACAGGGACAACAGAATTCAAAGGGCAAGAAGGGAAGGCATTGGCTTCAGAGAAGCTTGGCTGTGCATAAGTCAAATTGAGATGATGAAACATGAAGCAATTTGATGACTGAGGTCATGTGTGCTCCTAAATACAGAGCAACATCAGCAGCAGGATTCGAAATAAGGACTCATTTGACTATCTGACCTTTCAGTTAATGATATTAACCTATAGGAGCAGTTTCTCTGTAGCAGCATAGCACTATGGGGGTGTGTGTATGTATTTTAAACTGTGTGATGGAGACAGGCATGGCTATGTTCCAGGACCCCTTGAGGCTTGTCAAGTCTAGTGACACATGACTTTATACTGTGTTGATGTCACTCTCTCAGAATCTACTGGCCTGCCTTTCACGGAGGGCTGGGGAAATAGCCCATGATGCCTCAAAACCCGTTCAAGATTGGGCTTTCTACCTCATGAGAGAAACACTCCTTCCCTTGATTCTAGCTTTGGAAAGAAAATTTTCACATCACTCCTTGTTCCATTTTTAGAGTGTGTTTCTCCCATGGCAGCATAATTCCACAAGAGAGAGAGATTGGGGGTAGGAGGGTCCTAGAGGTTAATGTTAGGTGCCTGCTTCATTCAATCCCCACATCTATCTATCTATCTATCTATCTATCTATCTATCTATCTATCTATCTATCTATCTATCATCTATCTATCTATC